GATCAGTTTCAGTTCACAATTGTTCATACTGATAGGTCTAAGAGTCAAAGGGATCACACAAACAAGACTAGTGTCTGTGAATATTAACTGATAGAATAAAAAAGGGAGAGAATGATCCAACATGGGAAGTGGGATACACAGCAGACTCATAGAATGGCAGATGTCCTAAAAAGCACTCTGGCCTCAGAATCAGCCGTTAAGGCATTTGGATATGGCTGAAGAGCCCATGAGAGTATTTTAGGCATGGAAAGCCAAGACACTCTGAAAGCTTCTACTTACATGAACATCGTTATAGAAAATTTAAATGAAAGATCTCTGTGAGTGAGATCCCAGTAGAAAGAATGGGCCATCAAAGAAGGAGGTACTTTTCTCTAAAGGGAGGAGAGAACTTCCACTTTGACTATGACCTTGTCCAAATAAGATCGAAGTTGGAGAACTCAAAAGGCTTCCATAGCCTTGGCAACTCATGACTAGAGCCTAGGGAGATTACTGATGTCATAAACAAGATTGTCAATTTGTTAAGTCAACAGCAGGAGTCACTGTACACTTACTCTTCATGTAGGGTCTCTGTCCTTAGTGTGTTGTCCAATGTGAATTAATGCTATAACTAGTACTGAAACAGTATTTTACACTTTGTGTTTCTCTGTGGGTGCAAACTGTTGAAATCTTTACTTAATATATACTAAATTGATCTTCTGTATATAAAGAGAATTGAAAATGAATCTTGATGTGAATGGGATGGGAGATGGGAGGGTTTTGGGTGGGAGGTAAGTTATGGGGGGGGGGGGAGCCGTTGTAATCCATAAACTGTACTTTGGAAATTTATATTTACTAAATAAAAGTTAAAAAAATAAAATAAAATTATAAAACACTGAAAAAAAAGAAAGAGTTACACAGAGAGATCAAGAGAAGCAGAGAGAGAGAGAGAGAGAGAGAGAGAGAGGTCTTCCATGTGCTGGTTCACTCCCCATTTGGCTGCAATGGCTTGAGCTGTGCTGATCTGAAGCCAGGAACCTGGAACTTCTTCCAGGTCTCCCACCAGGTGCAGGGGCCCAAGTTCTTGGGTCATCTTCTATTGCTTTCTCAGGCCATAGCAGAGAGCTGGATTGGAAGTGGAGCGGCAGGGTCTCGAACTGGCGCCCATATGGGATGCCAGCACTGCAGGCGGCAGCTTTTCCCACTGTACACCACAGCGCTGGCCCCAAAACTAAATAAACCTAAGGGCTGTCTCTGTTTATTTAAAAAGAATCAGTTGCATTGGAAATTCAAAATATTTATGTGGTGGAGGTGATGTGCAGATAAAATCCATGCATCAAAACCTAAGGCAACGAAGTGCTCAAGACACTGATCATTCAGAAGCCAATGATCACTTCCATGCACCTAGGTGTTGCTGACTCTGAGAGATGTTATTCTAACTGGTGTGAAAAGTTGCAAACTGTGCATTTCAGTATGGTCTACTATCCTCTGGAATGATTTCATTTTCATCATTCCAATAAAAATATCTTTTTAACTACATAATATGCAGTTTATATAATATATATTATAATATATATGTATAATAAAATCATATATTCAAGCATCAAGGGGCTTTACTAGAAGAAAAAAATACTAGCTAGTGCCTTATTTTGAGAACCATGATTGTGGTAAATATCAAACTGCTGTCTTGCAGTGATAATACCAATATGCTTCAATCATAGAAGGCATTTCTCCTATATTTTCCTACAGTTTCTTCTATATTTTTCCATGAATGACCAAGATAACAAAGCAACGACACCCCAGCACTCCTTCTTCAGATCTTATTTTATAGTGCCAGATATTTTCAGTGAATTTATACATCATCTCATTAACTCTCAGAACAACCCGAGGAAGTGCAGACTAGTTAGGGCTCAACTGCAGGTAAGGAAATGAAGGCTAAAGAAAGGTTAAGCAAATTACCCGAAGTCAAACAGCTGTTAAGTGTCAAATCTGCACTTTAAACTATCCCATGCCTAATCTGATGCTCTTAGCCACTATGTTACTATATTACTCTTCCTTGAAATGAAATGTCATGTCTGATACCAGGGGGAGAATTGATTTTGTAGAGTCTGTTGTTAACCTCTGCCTCATGTTCTCTTCCCATGCAATTCTAACAAGGACATGAAAGGTCCTGAGATGATGATGAGTCTTTCCAGGCCTAGTGCTGTTCATGATGAGGGTTTGCAGGGACTGTGGTTCCCTTCATCTAGACTCTTGAAAAACTGGGTTGTGTGCGAGCAAGTGCACCCAGAACCCAAACCCTCTCCCCAAGACACCGCAAACCCAGGGCCGGGGATAGTTAGGGAAGTTTGATTAAGAAAATTCATAGAGCACCTTTTCTACTAGGTGAAAAGTGGACAGAACTACAGTCTATAATAAATTATATGATTCATATTTATTGGGTAAATTTGATCTATAAAATGCCAACTTATTAAACAATAATGTGATAATTACAAAGATTTTCCTTTGAAAATCTACCTTTGAATATAATTCAATAAAAATATTTCTCTAAATTCAAAAGGCTTCCATAGCATTGGCAACTCATGACAAGAGCCTCAGCTGATTACTGATGCCATAAACAAGAGTGTCGATTGTTAAATCAACAACAGCAGTCACTGTGCACTTACTCCTCATGTAGGGTCTCTGTCCTTAATGTGTTGTAATACGTGAATTGACGGTATAACTAGTACTCAAACAGTACTTTATACTTTGTGTTTCTGTGTGGGTGCAAATTGTTAAAATCTTTACTTAATATATACTAAATTGATCTTCTGTATATAAAGAGAATTGAAAATGAATCTTGATGCGAATGGTATGGGAGAGGGAGCAGGAGATGGGAGGGTTGTGGGTGGGAGGGCAGTTATGGGGGAAAAAAGCCAGTGTAATCCAAAAGATGTACTTTGGAAATTTATATTGATTAAATAAAAGTTAAAAAAATAAAAATGAAAAAAAAGAAAGTAAAACTATACCTAAAAGAAAAAAAACTATTTCTAGTGTTTCTAAAAATATTTGTTTACTTATTTGAAAGGCAGAGTTACAGAGAGAGGAAGGGACAGAAAAAGAGAGAAAGAGAGAGAGAGAGAGATTTTCTGTCTACTGGTTCACTCCCCAAATGGCCACAATGGCTGGGTCTAGACAGGGCCAAAACCAGAAGCCAGGAATTCAATCCAGGTCTCACACGTGGGTTGCAGGGGACCAAGCACTTTGGACATCTTTCACAGCTTTTCCAGGGACATTAGCAAGGAGCTGGGTCAGAAGTGAGCAGCCAAGGCAAGAGCCAGAGCTCCTATGAAATTCAGGCAACACAGGCTGGGGCTTAACCTGCTGTGCCACAACTTGCTGCACCACAACGCTGGTTCCTCTAGTATTATTTTACATTAGGTTATGTTGTACAATAATTTCAGAAAGTTTTTCTTCATAAGAAAGAATCCTTTATATTGACTAACTCAAACCCAAATAATATTTTATTATCTATTTACAATAAATAATAAATGTCTAACCAAAAATAATATTCAGCAACCATGAAGAACATCTATTACTTATTATATTAATATATTTAAATTGCAATTAAATATATAACGATAATGCAATTATTAAGACAATAATATTTATTGTTAACCATTAATAACATTTAACTATTAGAAAATGATGAGATCATGCTTTAACTGTTGTTTTCCTCAGTGATTTGCAGGGAACTCAGGTAGGGATGACTATTCAAGATAAAATATGGCTCTGTTTTCTAATTTTCATTGTAATGTATACAAATAAAATGAAAGCAATCAATAAATTATACTTGTCCCTAAATAAAAATGACTAAATGGAAAAGATTTTAAAAATTTTTTGAATCTGAATAATTTCACTTCCTTACAAATGATACTGATTAAAAATAATATTTTGTTTGTATCTTTGTTGAATTTATCAATATATTTGAAAATATGTTTTTCATACAAAAATCCCTTCTATTGTACTTTCCTCATTTGTAAATTTCTTATAGTGGAAAATTAGTATGTTCAAATGTATCATATAATACATTAACACTGACCTTTTAAGGATCCTGAATGGGATCCAAGTTTGGACATTTCTTCAACTGAAGTAATCAGTATAATATACAAAAGTCCTATGTATGGGAGTTCATTCATCCCTTCCACTATAATATAAACCTAGAAAAGACTTTAGAATGCAGTTCTGGCCAAAATCTCAGCATTATATAGATGTGTGATGGATGTATCATAAAAGAAAGGGTTCACTAAACCTTTCAGAGTTCCAAATATATATAAAATATATATATATATGTATATATCTTCAGGAAAAGTTATAAAATTCATTTTTGAGAGTTATTACATAAGGTACATAATAAGATCATGGTGTTGAAAATTATACATAGTGGGGCCAGCGCCGTGGCTCACTTGGTTAATCCTCTGCCTGTGGCCCCAGCATCCCATATGGGTGCTGGTTCTAGTCCCAGTTTCTCCTCTTCCAATCAAACTCTCTGCTGTGGCCCAGGAAGGCAGTGGAGGATGGCCCAAATGCACCCGCATGGGATACCAGGAAGAAGTACCTGGCTTCTGGCTTCGGATCAGCGTAACTCTGGCTGTAGCAGCCATTTTGGGGGGTGAACCAATGGAAGGAAGACCTTTCTCTCTGTCTCTCTCTCTCACTGTCTAACTCTGTCAAATAAATTTAAAAAAAGAAATAAAATTATACATAGTGAACAGAACATAAAATAGTCTATTGGGAAATTCTGGGCTGCCAGAATGCAAGGTTGGTTAGAGCCACATCACGTAAATATTGTTTAATCCTCCTCTAATTTGTTTTATCATGTGCATTTTCACTGAATTAGTTCATTTTACACTGATATTACTTTTGTTATTTTTCCTCTTTTCTGATCTGGTCATCACTAAGAAGGGAAACAATAGCAAGACTATAAATGCAGTTTTTAGAATAATAAAATTATTTGAAACAAAAACAATTATACATAGAAGACTATTTTCAATGTATGCAAACTTCAAATGGAAAACCAAATTTTATTGCATAATTTCTAGAATTTAGTAAAATACTTAAAAATTGTGCCATGACCTTGTGTGTTATAAGGAGTTGGTGTCCAGTGAAGGATTGTTGCTGTCAATGAGATGATGATTTGAAAATTTTTCTAGGAAGTATTTTTGAAAATAAGGGCAATCTCAGCATTTCTTCTTACTGTGATTTCCTATCTCTCCAATGTCTTAAAGTCTAAAAAGGCAGCTCATCCACATTTTCAAGAATGTCATTAAAGCTGAAACTTCTTTTTAAGAGCTCTTTCATCCATCACTGCCAAAGTGCTGGTGTCATTTTGGCTGCCCTGCAGAAGAGATTTGAACAGATTTCATCTTGTCTTATGCAAAACATGTTCCACCTCATCACCTACTTAGAATTCTCCTAATTAGTCTACTGTCAATAAGCCCCTTTCTATAATACAAAACTGAGAACAGACTTTGAGCTTGAAAAACAAAATTTTCTCCACATTAGTGATGATGTGTGGTACACAAGTATAACAGAAATGTGGCAGAAAGATGCAAATGACACTCTTGTTTTGTCTATTATAGGTTTTAATAATTCACTGAACTACTGTAACAAACAGAACCTTGAATTTGGGCACTGCGACTTTGGTTAAGTCTTCAAATGTTTTTGAATTTTATTTTCCAAACACATATGGGAGACCAGTAAAATAGGATTGATAAATAATCCACAGACTTATTAAGGGGAGCAAATGATATGCATGGAAATGTTAGTCAATTATAAAATTATTCAAGTTATTATGAAACTAGTATTATTGTTGTTATTGATGATTATACAACTAACTCCACACTGCAACAAAAACAAACTTGTATCTAATCCTATCTATAGACTGAAGGCAGTACTTGGTGCATATTATGAAGAACACAAATTCTTTTTCTTTAAATGGTAAGACAGTTTATTTTTTTTAATTTTACTTAAGTTATACAAGTTTCATATATTTCACATATACAGATTTAGGAACATAGTGATACTTCCCACCCTACTCTCCATCCCACCCATGCTCCAACATTTCTTCCTACTCCCTCTCCCATTCCCACTCTTAATTTTTTTTAAAGATTTATTTTATTTATTTGAAAGTCAGAGTTACACAGAGAGAGAAGGAGAGGCAGAGAGAGAGAGAGAGAGAGAGAGAGAGAGAGAGGTCTTCCATCTGCTGGTTCACACACCATTTGGCTGCAATGGGCAGAGCTGCGCTGATCTGAAGCCAGGAGCCAGGAGCTTCTTCTGGGTCTTCCAACGGGTCCAGAGGCCCAAGGACTTGGGCCATCTTCTACTGCTTTTCCAGGCCATAGCAGGGAGCTGGATCGGAAGTGGAGCAGCCAGATCTTGAACCAGTGCCCATATGGGATGCACTGTAAGTAGCAGCTTTACCTGCTACACCACAGCGCCGGCCCCTCCACTCAATTTTTATAAAGATTTACTTTCAGTTTACTTAATGATCATAAAATTAACCCTACACTAAGTAAAAAAGTTCAACAAATAATATGAAAGGGAAAAAAAGCACTGTTACTCAACAGAAGATACAAGGGCCACACAATCAGCAAATCTCAAAAATCTTACACAGAACTAACTTGACAAGGAAAATGACTCCCTGGTAATCAGAAAAAGACATTTGCATGCTTTTAAATTCTGATGAACATGGCGACACTTTATTATTGACTTTAAATTCAATAACTGTTTTTGTTGTTTGTTTGTCTGTTTACCCCCCATTTGTGAAAGTCTCTGTGCTGGATTCTAGGGGCATTTACATAACTCAGACACCAAGATCAATCCTCCAAACTCCTGCTCTCTGCATTCTAGTCAAACAGTTCACAATTTTCCACTTTTTCCTTTGGATACGTTGTCAGAAAGCTGTGAAACCCAAAAGAACACTTAAAAATAACACATAACAAAAAACACATCAATGTGAAGAAATTTGGGATGTGAAAGAAACTTTATCTACTGTAAAAGAAAGTTTGTATTTTAATAAGATTTAAGCAAGTGCTAGTGTTCCTTTTCAGAGAGAAATAAGAAATGAACAAAACGAAGTGTGTATGGCTTGGAAGGACTTCTGACTATTAAAAACTCATCACGTGGTATATCAGTTTTGTAGGGCTGTCATAACTAATCATACTGGATGGTTTGAAACAACGAAAACCCATTCTTTTAGAATTCTGGAGGTTAGAAGTCAAAATCAAGGTTTTGCAGGCCCATGCTCCCTGCCAAGGGAAGCGTGGCCAGCACTAGGGAAGAATGCTTCTCTGCCCCTTCCCGGTTTCTCATGACTCCTGGACGTCTCGGGCATCCCTTGGCTTCTAAATACACCATGCCAATCTTTGCCTGGCCTTCTTCCTCCATATCTCTCCTTTTGGTCTCGTTTCCACATCTCCCTCTCTTTTCCCTTTCAAAGACAGCAGTCCCGGGATTTAGGGCCCACACCAATGACTTTAATATCATTACATCTGAAAAGACTATTTCCAAATAAGATCACACTCAGCGTGAATGCCTCTTTTAGGGGCCCACAATTCAACCCACAACACATACCAAAAGAAATGTTCTGGGCCGGTGCCGCGGCTCAATAGGCTAATCCTCCGCCTGCACACCAGGTTCTACTCCCGGTTGGGGCACCAGATTCTGTCTCGGTTGCCCCTCTTCCTGTCCAGCACTCTACTGTGGCCCGGGAGTGCAGTAGAGGATGGCCCAAGGGCTTGGGCCCTGCACCTGCATGGGAGACCAGGAGGAAGCACCTGGCTCCTGGCTTCGGTTCAGCACAGTGCGCCGGCCACAGCACGCCAGCTATAGCAGCCGTTGGAGGGTGAACCAACAGCAAAAGGAAGACCTTTCTCTCTGTCTCTCTCTCTCACTGTCCACTCTGCCTGTCAAAAAATAAAATAAAAAATAAAAAGAAGTATTCTGCTGAAGTCTGAAATAGATAAAAAGGAGCAGAAATAAATTATAAAATTATGAATTGTAAATCAGTAATAAAAGTACTAAATTTTACCTGAGTTCTTGACATCTAACTTGTATTCTAAGTGTACAATCTATAAATGGGAAGGAGTTGTTTTTGCCTACTATGTGCTCAAAAGGAACAGTTCTGTGACCAGATGTGTGCAAGGCACCCATTTATTAATAACATTCTTTAGAAAAGGAAAATCAGTACTTGATTTTAAGTAAGCATAAACTTACATTTTTAAAGCTCTTTGCTGTCAAAGAAAGCTCACTGGGGACCTAAAAGCGTCACCAAAAGACAACAAGTGTTTACACTTCAAGTTCGCCAGCTCTGTGATACATCAGGTTAAGCAGCCAGCTGCAGTGCTGTCTTCCCATGTGGGCGCAGGTTCGAGTCGCAGCTGCTCCGCTTCCAATCCAGATCCTCGTTAATGGCCTGGAAAATCAGCAGAAGAAGCCCTGAGTATTTGGGTCCCTGCACCCAAGTAAGAAACTGGAAGAAGCTCCTGATTCCTGGCTGTGTCCTGCCCCAGCCCCTGCCAGTGTGGCCATTTGGGGAGTGAACCTGCAGATGGAAGATATCTGTGTCTCTCTGTCCCTCTCTCTGTAGCTCTGCCTTTCAAACAAATAAATAAATCTTGGAAAAGAACATTATTTAGAAATGGAAAATCAGTACTTAATTTTAAGTAAACATGCCCTTACGTTTGGAAAGCTCTTTGCTGTCAAAAAAGCTCACTGGGAGAAATAAAAGCATTGCCAAATGATGAGAAGTGATTATACAATTACACCTCAAATTACTGACAAAACCAATGAAGCAAGAGTGTTTGGATGATCGCTTATACACTCCTCTACAGAACTTCTCAACCTCTCTTTCCCAGACAACTTTCCTGTACATCTAAATTATACTCTCCGAGTTTCCAGTTGACTTCAACTGACTCTACCCACTGACAGACTGGTGGCTTTACCTCTCATGGGCCCTGGCAACTCTTGTCTGTCCAGCACCACCCAAGTAATTACCAACTTCCAAGCACATTTCACTTTATCAACCATGACCTGCTTGCTGTCTCTAAAATACAGTAGTTGAGTGCATCTGGAAAGACTGGGAAACAAGGAAGAGCATCATGGATCAATTCATCACGTGATACAGTGCATGCCAAAGAGGAGACCAGTTGAAAAGACAAAGTGAGAGTCTATCAAATCTATCCAAGATTATTTTAATACAATCATAAATAATAACATTTCATTCAAAAATAATAAGCCCATAATGAATGTTTAGTAGGATGTCAGGTCAACAGTCTTAATCCTGTGAACACAAGATGGTCAGTTACTCTATGTTTAAGGTTCATATAATAAATATGTAATATATATAATAATAAAGATTAAGAGCTTTTAGAGCTTTAACATACAATTCAACAATACAGCTATTCTTTTTGCTACTATTAAAAAATGAGGTTATAACAATATATCAGCTGTTCCCCAGTTGCAGCTTGCTTTATAGCAAGAAAAGTGTCAAAAAAGAAATAAGTAGTTACTTACAAACCAGAAACTCATGAGCTTCAACCCTCACAGTTTCAATAGTAAATTTAAAAAAAAATCTTTTGAAATAAAAGAATCACTATTTTAGGATAACAGTGTGAGAATAGAAGTACAAATATTAGCTATTCTGTACTTTTAGGTTATCCAAAATTAGAACTACTTCACATGAGTTGCACAGACTTTTAAAAATTAGACTTAGGTTTTCTGTATAGTTTGGAATTCTCACAGAGAGCTCTTCAGCACAAAGGTCCCTTCTGCCTTTATTTTTCTGAAAGAAGTTAAACTTGTAGTGACCTGGAAGCTTTTATGATCCAAAATATCATGGTCTTGCAAAGCGAATTTCTTTTTTTTATTTTTTATTTAGTAAATATAAATTTTCAAAGTACAGTTAATGGATTACAATGGCTCCCCCCCCCCCATAATTTCCCTCCCACTCACACCCCTCCCATCTCCCGCTCCCTCTCCCATTCCATTCACATCAAGATTCATTTTCAATTCTCTTTATATACAGATGATCAATTTAGTATATATTAAGTAAAGATTTCAACAGTTTGCACCCACACAGAAACACAAAGTGTAAAATACTGTTTCAGTACTAGTTATAGCATTACTTCACATTGGACAACACACTAAGGACAGATCCCACATGAGAAGTAAGTACACAGTGACTCTTGTTGTTGACTTAACAATTTGACACTCTTGTTTATGGCATCAGTAATCTCCCTAGGCTCTAGTCATGAGTTGCCAAGGCTATGGAAGCCTTATGAGTTCGCCAACTTCGATCTTATTCCGACAGGGTCATAGTCAAAGTGGAAGTTCTCTCCTCCCTTCAGAGAAAGGTACCTCCTTCTTTGATGGCCCCATTCTTTCCACTGGGATCTTACTCGCAGAGATCTTCCATTTAGGTCTTCTTCTTCTTCTTTTTTTTTTTTTTTCCAGAGTGTCTTGGCTTTCCATGCCTAAAATACTCTCATGGGCTCTTCAGCCATATCCAAATGCCTTAAGGGCTGATTCTGAGGCCAGAGTGCTTTTTAGGACATCTGCCATTCTATGAGTCTGCTGTGTATCCCACTTCTCATGTTGGATCATTCTCTCCCTTTTTTATTCTATCAGTTAATATTCACAGACACTAGTCTTGTTTGTGTGATCCCTTTGACTCTTAGACCTATCATTATGAACAATTGTGAACTGAAATTGATCACTTGGACTAGTGAGATGGCATTGGTACATGCCACCTTGATGGGATTGTATTGGAATCCCCTGGCATGATTCTAACTCCACCATTTGGGGCAAATCCGATTGAGCATGCCCCAAATTTTACATCTCCTCCCTCTCTTATTCCCACTCTTATATTTAAGTTAACATAGGAGGTATGAAGGATAGAACCTGTTCCACTCTCACAACTATGCAATCTGTTTACTAATTAACAGCAGAGAAACAAAGGTGAGTTTACTTCAACAAGCAGATAGCTCATTTGTAAACCCATGCCATTCTAGAGCCATTGAATGACTTGCCATACTGTGACACGGGAGTCAGAGAATAGTACATACCAGAAGTTCTTGAAGTGCTCAGAGACTGAAAGATGGCTGTTGCTGGGAAAAGTCTGGAAAAGAGAAGACAATTACGTCACATAAACCTGACACCGTAATAGCTTCTTCCATATATATATATATATATATATATATAATTTCATTTCTTCCTGAGAAAGTCTTGACCCTTGATTATTTTCTTTGTTTCATCACTAAAGGGTTTTACTTAAGATGCAATTGCTCCCCCAAAGTACAGCAACCTAAAAAATGCAAGCAAACATAGAGCTGAGCCAGGAAATGAGGTGCTCTTTCCTACAAAGTTACCAATTACCCAGAAAGTTCTGGATTTCTAGTCTTAAGCAACATTCTTCATAGAACAAGCAGGTGTTTTCTTTGTTTTAAATCACACATTTTGTGAAGTAGTATGTGTTACTCTAAGAATTCCATCTTGTGCCCCACAACCTCACCTCCTGAGCTCACAGTCAGGTCATTGTAGAGAATATGGAGTTGACTTTTCCAGGATCCATAGGTTAACATGAGCCAAATACAAGTAAATGATGTCAGAAATTAAGTCTGCCCTTGAGGCCTACACAGACTATTTCCTTTTCTTCCCATTTTCCACCCAACCACCTTATTCTTTTTCCAGAAAGAACCTCTGCAGTCTCTTGCAGAAAGGGCTTGCTTACACCTAAGGAGGAAACATACCAGGTTATTCTGCTGACATATTTGGAGGCAGCACATTTGTAAGGAGCTTCTCTACTCTTTATTCATGTTCCAGCATGCCTCAAGGGAATCCAGAAGAAATGATGACCTCCTCTGAGCTTGCTCTCATTTTCCTCTAGTGGCTTAGAAGGCAGAGCAGGTACTGACTTCTCCTTTCCTGTATATATATAACATATATAATTATATACATAATATTAATATAATATATAATTTTATATATAATATATAATTTTATATATATATAAAATAAATCTTCCTAGAGTGTAGGTGGGTATTTGGAAGAACCTCACACAGAACATCAGACCCTATGTAGGGCAGGCTCTTGCACAAATCAAAAATTAAAAAAAAAAGACCATAATAGTAATCAGAGAAAGGTGGTGACAAAAGATAGGCACAGGAAAAAGGGAGTTTTCTGGCCTAGTAATTTGAAATTCTCCAGTATGATTCACTTTGCTGGTGAAGTAAAATTTCACTCTTTCTATGAGCACCGCGACAAGTGGTGAGCAGCTGTTTGAGATTCTCAATATTTCCTCCCTGTGTCCAGACTTAAAATTTAGAGAGCAGTCTTCCTGTAAGAATGGAGTACATTCAGAAGTACCTGCAGTCTACATCCCACTGAGCCAGGAAAAGAAAAATGAGACTCATCAGAAATATCACACTTGCCTGCCTCACATCTTCTTTATTTTCTTGTACCAGTATGAAAATTGCTTTCCAAATAAAAATAAGTTGCAAATGAAGAGCATGAGTTCTTTCCAATGTTATCTTTGCACACCCAATACTTGGATGAATACAATCCTATTTGACCTTTTGAAAATTCTACTGTAAAACATCACAGAACATCAAGATCAGCTATAAATATCACAATATGCCTGGAACAAAATCATATGGAGCTCCAAATGCCTTTAACGTTCAAAGAGCAACCTGCCCAGCAATTTGCTATGGAAGTCAAATGTCAATATTCCCTCCCATTTATCCTGCATGGAAAGTTGTACATTACCAAAATCATGGCTTTTGAGCTCGGCCCTGAAGCCAAGATGTTCCGAGGGCATTAGGAGGAAAAACAGATTACCCAAACTGTGAAAGAGATTGACATGGGGAGAATCAATATGAAAGCAACAGGGTAGGTGGGAAGCACAAAGGAATTTAAAATTTAAATCACAGCCTTGAAAATTTAAGTTCCAAAGAGACTTCCTTGTCCAGAGGTCATGATACTGCAAAGCACTGTGCCAGCCTGGGAGCACTGAAGGAAAGGAAGGAAACTAAATTCAACAAGGCAGAATCCTTCAACTTTTTCTTTTCCTTTAATTACCAGAGCAATTTAATGTGATTCATTGGAATCGTTTTTAATATCTTTACATAAATAGATTTACCAAATGACTGATGTTCTGGAATTTCTCTGCATGGAGTTTAACATGGATAGCCAGCTGGAAGGCTGACATGCATGATCGCTGGCCTCTGCTAACCCCTGTTTGGGTCCTTTACCTACCAAGCACCAGTTGCATTTGCTCACAAACCAGTTGCAAATACGAATAGGTAATCTAATGGAGAAGTAATAAAATATCGCTTCTAAGAAAACTAAGTTGAGGGCAGATGCTGAGCTCAGCAGTTAAGATACACACTTCCTGTATCACAGTACCTGGGCTCAAGTCCAGCTTCTGGCTAATAAATACCCTGGAAGGCAGAAATGATGGCTTGAATAGCTGAGTCCCTGTCACTTGCCTAGGAAACCTGGATTGAATTCCCAGCTGCTGTTTCTGTCCCATTCAAGCCCCAGCTGTGAGGGTATTTACAATACCCCAGAAAAAAAAGGAATGCGTTTTTTTCCTTCTTTCTATCTCTATCTCTCAAAAATTCTCCCTCTCAAATAAATAAATTGCATTTTTTAAAAGACAGGTAAGTTGAATGATCTGAAAGGACTCATTTTAAAGGCCATTGTTGGACTAGACAACTATTGAAGAACAAGAGTGGGGACAATAGCAGTGGGAATTAAGACCTAGGAAAATCCTGCACATAAACGCATATCAGACTTTTTGAAAACAAAAAGCTAAATTTAAAAATCATTGGATATTGGTTTTGCAAAATGATGAAGGACTCCAACCATTGCACCTATATTTCAAGAAAAGACATAATCCCAGATGAAAATATTGGTTAATAGATGTACTTTTGTGTGTTCAAGAAAGGATTTAAGGTGTGATACATATTCTTGCTTAAGATGTCCCACTTGCACAGATTTTACTAATCAACTATTGACCCTCATTATATCAGACATAAGAGCTTCCACTGAATTCCAGGTTTCATTTTATAGATGAGGAAACAGAAATAGTCTCAGCTAGTGAACGGAAAAGCTAAGGTTTGGTTGGTTTTTGTTTTTTGTTTGAAAGTTATGCTGTATCTAAGGTGATTCAGTTTTAATTCTCTGTTTAAACATTTAAAGTCCATTTTATTCTTTCCTTTTCATCTTTCCCTGCATTTCAGTCCTTCCCCGAACCCACTCGGAGCCTTGCAGGCTTCTTAGATTGGATGAGGCCCATGGACTCCAGTCAGATGCCTGGGGAAGCCTCAGCATCAAGTGCATCAGCTCATGCTTCTCCCCTCTGCTCTCCCTGAGTCTTGCACCAAGCATTTGTTCTTAGGCCCAGACTATCCAGGCTGCTTCCTTTCAACAGATTTACTTAGCTCTTATTGGACTCCTTCAACTCATGCTCTGTGATTGTACAGTAATTGTGCCTCCCCTTCAAATCTGGCTTGGCATTCAGGAAGTTCTGCCTGGATCTGGTGCCCCAAATATAGCTTATCTTGAAAAAGAGTTCACCCCCCTACATGCTCTTATTCAACCACGTGCTCTTGTCTCATCAAGGTCAAATTTTCCCAAGCTTGATGAGAAACCAAAACATAAATTTTCTAATTGTCTTTAAATATCAAAATATGTTTTTAATCTGAGCTTTCAAAATAAATTTCCCATCTCTAAATATTTTCCTATCAATATCAATTTTGCCCATTGCTAGACTCTTGGGAGAATTTGCCAAGCCCTGTGATCAGCTATTTCTAAACTCTTTTCTTCACTCTCTTCTTGACTTCTTTGGCCCTTTTCACTTCCCATTTGGGGTTCAGTCAAAATCTCTCTCTGAGTCCCTGGAGTGGTTACAACACTACGCTGTTACACATCGCCCACTGCAACTCAGCCAGACGGAAAATGGGTGCTCTTCTGCCCCCTTGCCCCAACTTCCAGGTTATGGCAAAAGAGCATTTATGCTTTTAGGGATAAGTCCTTATACTCATTTTGTATCTACTAACATTTACTGAATACATACTATGCCTAATCACCATGCAAAGTTGTTTACGTGTATTATCTTATTTCTCAAACCAGCTTTAAGGAAGGTATATTTCCACTTTTGCCATTTAAGGGAAGGATAATAAACCACAGAAAGATTAGATTATCTGTCATAGACTGTATAATTTGGAGATGGTGTCATCAGGATTTATAGATCTGTTTAAGAATAGATACTCTGGACATAACAACTCCTACTTCCCAACTGAGGCAGTCTGTAATTCTGTGATTAGACCTAGTACATAGAAGATTCCAGGGCATTTTACATAAAGGGCCATAGTGCACTCACTTAGTGTTCCTTCAGCTGTAGTGAGCATAAGTGGAAAAGTAAAGCTAGAAGCAATGAGTAGGAAAAGTGGTAGTCTCTGCACTAGTGTTAGTTAAGCTGGTATGGGGTCTCTGGTATCTTGGCAAACCAGTGGCTCCTTGCGTAAAGATGACTGCCTGGTTTTGCTTGGTGTTATGTAGACCCTATGTCTGCACACTTGTAGAGAAAGTAACGGGAAGAAGCAACTTGTTACTGTCTACGTGTGAACAGATCGTAAGTTGTAAAATTCAACTTCATCAGTGCTGTAGATCATGGGAATTCTAAATGCAGTGCAAGTGTGGACTGTTTTCCTTAATTCCCAGTGTTGTTATGAGTTTTATCTTTTACAAATAGTTATCACAGAATGATAAAGAAGATGACATTGGGATGCTAGCCTATTGTGGTATTTTAGGCAGACAGTTGACTACTCCCCCTCTCATCTGTTATGGTTGTGTTCTGGTTTCGAGAAATCGGTTCTCCATTTCCACTTTCAACTCCAATTGCTTCAGTAACGTTGTATAATCATCTTAGAACCCTATCCTTGCTTTCTTAATATGTACCACTATCTAAACCACAACTATCTTGGATGCCCTCAATGGTCAACCTCTCCAAAACCTCTCTCTGGTGTTCTTGGCTCTCTAACCACCTGTTTGAAAGCACACTGGAAAATGTAAAGCATTTCATGATGCTATTTGGTCTAGTTGTGATATAGTCATAATCATTTCCCACCTTCTTCATAACTCGCTCAGCAAATCTCCAGCTTTATATATTTATTCATTCAACAACTGCTTACCTACCATCATTATACCTTAGGTGCTGGGACTAGAGTATTAAAACAATCACATCTCTGCTTTTCAGGGAGAGTGACTTCCAATAAGAAGAGACAAATGATTATCAAATAAATAAATGAATGACAGGTGACAATAAGCATTTTGGAAAAAAAGATTTCATAAAATTGGTGTGGTTTTTAGGTAAAGTTGCTAGAGAAACGTTCTGAGAGCTGATGACATTTATGCATATATTTAAATTAAATGAGACCATGATGAAATCTGGGAGTAGAGGAGTACAGGAGGAGTTGGAGGAACAACAAATGCACACTCTTGTGGCAGGAGCTTACCTAGTATGTTTGAGGACCAGCAAGTAGACCAGTGTATCTGAGTAGAACAGACAAGAATATCCACTTCACTACCATCTCTTCTAGTTGCTTCTGATGCCATGGGGGAAATATACAAGAGAGAAGGCATGGTTGCTGCTATTTGTGATTTGGAGTCATGATTTGATGCTCAGCCATGCTAGATGATTCTGTTTTATTATATCCATCAGCTTCTGATCTCAAACTTTCAACATTTTCCCACTGTCCTGACATCTTGTTCATCTCCCTATCCCCTGCCCAAAGTTTACTTTTCTGTGTTTTTTACTGCCTTCACCTCTGAGATCCATTTTCCTGGCATACATGACCAAATTGTCCCAATCCTAAAAATTAAATACCTAAATCCATCTGTCCAACTTACATTTAAATTCTGGGATAGCCATTTGGTCTAGTGGTAAAGATGATTGTATCCCATATCAGGTGCCTCAGTTTTTTTTTTTTCCGTTAATTTTTTTTCCTTTTTTTTTAACTTTTATTTAATGAATATAAATTTCCAAAGTACAGCTTATGGATTACAATGGCTTCCCCCCCATATTGTCTCTCCCACCCGCATCCCTCCCCTTTCCCACTCCCTCTCCCCTTCCATTCACATGAGGATTCATTTTCGATTCTCTTTATATACAGAAGATCAGTTTAGCATACATTAAGTAAAGATTTCAACAGTTTGCTCCCACACAAACATAAAGTGAAAAATAATAGATGATTTTTTAAATGATGATGAAATTAGATCAGACCTATTGTCATGTTTAATCCCAGTGAGAGTCAAGTTGGGAATTGATAATTTCTTCTTCTTTTTTTTTTTTACAGAAGATCAGTTTAGTATACATTAAGTAAAGATTTCAACAGTTTGCACCC